TTGAAACGAGTCATGTTTCCACGAGAGGCCATGTGACATTTTAACAAAGATTTAGATGGTCACACGGGACTAATTGTGCAACTATAATCATATGTTAAAAGTTAATAAATTAACAAAGAGAGTTAATTACAGAAACATGACGTTTTATTAATCAACAATATGGAGAGAAATACAAGACCTCAGCAATTCTTGCTTGAACAAAACTAAAAGAGAAGACCACTATTTATAGGTACGTGGCATAACATAAAGATGGAAATAATGTGAAATAAGGAAATGATATATTTTCATAAAAATCACTGACATATAAGGAAACAAATTTTCCCTCGTAAAAATAAGGAAACAGTTTATTTCAAAAAAAAAAAGAAAAAAGAAAAAAGAAAAAAAAGTTCCACCTTAACTTGGGTTACAAACCAACATAAATGATGTAAAAGGTCAGCCACAAATCCGACATTAGCCTATGGGTGGGGAGAGCACGCCCAAGAGATGGAGATGCACATTCTTTCTCCTTGATCCTATAATTACTCCTCCTAACTGTTCAACTAAGGTAAATGTTGTTAATTTGTCAATATGCACCTAATTTATATATTTTGATTTGAGCTCTTGGAGTGGAAACGATCGTCGCACCTCTTTCAATTTAACAATCTTACATTTATAATTTTTAACGAGCATCTTAAATGTGCGGAGCTATACAAGTGGACGGGAATGTGGTTGGTGTTAAAGTTCAAAGTTCATTTGACGACTCTATATGATGGTTCTTGTATACAACTTTTTTTCCATGCAGGAATAGATCTTAACAATTACAAATTTATTGTTCTTTTTTTCAAGTTCATGTAGTTTTCGGTGGAAGGTCGATCGTATGGAGGAATTCGAATTCAAGTTCTTACATTTCAATCCACGGAATGTCGAATCCTTTATAATTGTTTGTTGTGGGATTACAAAGGTTTTTTTCTTTAAATTCAAGACCTATTTAGTTTGCATCTCTAGCCCATTTTATCAACATTTATGGGTCGCCTCCGATGCTTTGTTTTCTGTGAGAAGAAGATGTTCCGTGCATGAGGAAAACTTATTTGAATGATTGTAAGTTCAACATTTTATTGTCCAATTATACATGCAAGGGCGGACACAAAAATTTTCAAAATTTAAAATTGAAAACTAAAACACAAACCAAACATGTCATGAGCTTTTTGAGAATATGGATAACATGGGCTAAATATGACCATTCATAATGTAAACAAACGAGACCCTTCTGTAAAATTTCCATTGACCTTTTCAAATACGACCACTTTTATGTACCAAAATGATAAGGAGCTAAAGAATTATTAGTTATGAATAGCAAAATACAACAAATAATTTGGTTTATATTGTTTTATTGAAAAATGTATGATTGAAATGAGCCCAAACAATATTTAATAATGCATTTTTCCTTTTTTATTTCCAAAAAAATGATATTCAAACAAGGGCTACGAGTTTGAACTATTTTTTTATAACTTATATTTTTTAGAAACTTTTATAACTTTAATTTTAAATTTTTAGAAAATTTATTTTTTAATTTTTTATGTAAGTAATCATTAAGTGCTTGAGCTATTTTTATGTTTTATTATTTTTATTTATCTAGTAATTTTTATAATTTTCTTTTTTCATAATTTTTTTTAAATTCACCAATTTTATTTTAAGTTTATTTTTTTGAAAATTTTAAAAGTTTAGTTGTTAGAATTTTATTTTTTTTAAAATTTTTAATTTTTTGAACTTTCTTTAAATTATTGTTTTCCATGTTTTGAGCATCTTTAGAATTTTCATTACAAACACTAAGCCCTTGTTTGAGCCACACTATTTTCTTTAGAACACATTTTTGAATAGTGTATTGATGGGAAATGTGTGGTTAAAAAATAAAGAAAATTTTTAGATTTACGTGTAATATTATTTTATTGAAGAATGTATGGTTGAAATAATATCAAATCACTGTTTAAGAATATATTTTTTGAAAAAAATGTGGCCCAAACATGTCCTAAAACATTAAAAAAATATATTTTGAATTTTATAAAAAGAAAATTCATTGGGTTTCAAAAATAGCATACCAAATACGTTTTTAGTGTCTGGTAAATTGAAAATTGAAAGTCCCGAAAATAGTAAATCAAACGCACTCTTATTTTTCTGTTTTCAAAAATTTCATTGAAAACACTCAAAAACATAAAAAATACATATGAGTTTTATGTTATAAGTTTATCATTATTTTGAAAATGTAATTTTAGAAATACCAAACTGAATGTGCTTTCATCATTTTGTCAAATTAAAAATTGAAAATAGATCAAAAACAACAAACCAAACACACCTTAGATTTTTGAAAAATGAGGCTAAACACACAAGCTTATTCTTATATTTTAAGCCCCTGTTTGGCTTCATTAATTTTAAAATACGTTTTTCTCTCTTTTCTTTTTAATTGTACATTTTTTAATAAAATAATATTATACATAAATTCATTTTTTCTTTTTTAACCACATATTTTGCAAATAATCGCTATTATAAAATGCATATTTTCTCAAAAACTAATTACAATGGAGCTCAAACAGAGGCTAAATGCATACTATAATGGAAGCTATGGAATTCCAACCTTCAACAGTATTTATCAAATCAATAATCTGTTCGGAATTTACTTAAACATGCACAGCGAAATTTAACAAATTTCAATTCCCATTCAGGATTCAACTTTGTATTTAAATAAAAACTGTGATAAGAAATATACATTTTCTTTTAATTTGCAAACTCCTTCGCATTATTTCTTTCCAGCAGCTTGAATCTGCCTCCCACAGCTGTCCAATTGTCCAACCTCCAATGAAATCCACACAGAGAATAGACTGCAACTGCTATGGTTTTTCTCTTGTGCCAGCAAGAATAAGGAAAAATCTTATGGACCTCAAACCCTAACTATGTATATATATAAACCCAAACGGACCCGATCCGATTCGGTCCAATATTTAATTAATCCAATTAATTAAACCCGGTCCGTGAATCAATTAATCTAATTAATTAATTCGAGAATATAAATAACAAATCCAATTAATTAATTTATCCAACGATTGTTAAATTAACCAATTGGCAATTTGCAATCTTCCAATTCTCTTTTGTGTGCGACCCATTAGGTTCTCGACCACGATATCCAACGTCGTGAAATATTATTTTGATCTAATCAAAATTGATAAATTAATACACCCTTTTAATTTATCATCAATTCACACTCCTCGTCCCTGATTGACATCTAGTAATGTGTCAGGGCAATACATGTGACGGGAAATGTCACGTGATATGACAAAACCAAATTCGTTTGTTTACCGTGAAACTATTATCCCTTCGTCAATATGATCCAATCAATTACGAGATATGGAATTGTGTCAATCTCGATCATCGATTATATCTTTCACTCCACTATTAAGTCAATATAAATCGAAAACTCCTTTTCGACTTATGAGTACACCTTGACCAAGGATTTCATCATCGACTTAATTAAATGAAACGCAGATCATAATCTCCTACTATCTAAGAGTGACGAATCCTTTATTGATCAATCACAACCTTCACACGATTCTTGACGTACCCGAACGATGTCGTATTAGCGGCCCCTTTCAGAGCAATATCCAATACCGCCAAAGTATGACTGTCTTTATATAAGGTACCACGACGACCTCAAATCAAATGACCAATCCCACTACCGAACGTTAGAGATCAGCCATTGACACTCAGATAGTTATCCATGTGGAATCTCTTAGCGGGTCTCCAATGTTTTGTTCTATAACAAAACATCCACGTGTTCATTTAAGTGTCACTACACTTTAGCTCGTGAGATCAGCTACTTACTTCACAAGTAAGAAATGCCACATGTGATGGTCTAATTGTATTAACGATATCCGTATCTCGTTATTACTTACGACCATGGTTTATTCAAGATCCAATCATATGTAATTTGTATCTCACAATCACAACTCCTCGTGATTAACAGATTACCTAAAAATTTGGATCTTCATATTCTATTATTTAATATTATTTATCACAAAATTAATTTAAATAAATAATAGATCTCGCCAAAATCAAATGCATTAAATATATTAAAAGCGTTTACAACCTAAATCGATTGAATTTAGAACATAACACTTACATAATCTTGATTATACTTTTGAAAAGATATTTTTATTTATTTTAGTTAGCAAATCAAGTCCATGTTTGGTGGGTATTAAAACTAAATTTCGAGTAAATTATGATAAAATTGATGAAATATGTGATTGAAAAGTTGTGGATTCCATAATGTATGATCAAAATTAGTTGTTAATTTTAATTTAGATTAAAATTTGAATTTTGGGTTTCAATGAAATGGGAGCTAAGTTGATAAACCTAAAATAACAAGAATTTATTGATGAATTTTGCCCGTGTTTGGTTGCTATTTTTTGGAAAAATATTATTTCGAATAGTAAATCTTTTGAGAACGTGGAATTAAAAAGTAGAAAAAAGTTTTAAAAATTACGTATAGAATATTTTATTATATTAATATATTGATAAAAATGAATACATAAAAGAAAAAATTGAAAGAATGAGAGACAAACAATGACTTTATTATATCATCGTTTGATTTTCTTTAAAATTTTGTTACATTTTTCTCTGATTTTCTTTAAAATTTTGTTACATTTTTCTCCCTTTTCTTTTAAATCACATAATATTACATGTAAATTAATTTTTTTTTTAACCGCACATTCTACTAAATCTTATTATTTTAATATATATTTTACCCAAATTTCTCATTTTAATTTTAATGATCGTCTACGCATATTCACACCCTAGAAAAGCGCTCATTTTCAAACTTGAATCCAAACTTCCCACGATTTCATATATCTCTACCATTCACGTGTCATGGAATCAACGTTTAATATTCAAGATCCGCATCACTTTGAACTCACCAATTAGACCCCATTCCCAACTCCTATATAAAGAAGCCACCCTTTCCTTTCCTCTCATCAGTAATCCAATTTGGAGAAAAAACAGAATCCTTCCATAGCTCTTTTCTACGAAAAATGGCCCCGAAGGCAGAGAAAAAGCCAGCTGAGAAGAAACCTGCAGCCGAGAAGACTCCGGCGGAGAAAAAGCCGAAAGCCGGAAAGAAATTGCCGAAAGAAGGTGGAGCTGCGGCAGGAGACAAGAAGAAGAAGCGGATGAAGAAGAGCGTTGAGACGTACAAGATCTACATCTTCAAGGTGCTGAAACAGGTTCACCCTGATATTGGGATTTCCAGCAAAGCCATGGGTATCATGAACAGCTTCATCAATGATATCTTTGAGAAATTGGCTCAGGAGGCCTCCAAACTAGCCAGGTACAACAAGAAACCGACCATCACCTCACGGGAGATTCAGACTGCAGTGAGATTAGTTCTCCCTGGAGAATTGGCCAAGCATGCTGTTTCTGAGGGTACAAAGGCTGTTACTAAGTTCACCAGCTCTTGAGTGGATGATGAATTAGGGTTTTTACTTTTGCTCGTTTTTAATTCCCTTTTAAATTATCACATGCTAATGTTAGTGTTTATGAGGATCTAGATGTAATCAAACTTTAGGATCCTGTTGAATATAGGTTCTGTAGTTGGTTGCTAGTAATTTAATGAATGAAATTTCTGTCCCTATCTTATATTGTTCCATTTCTTGAACAGTATTTCTAGATAACAGTTTTATTTGATATGCCTGCGCGGATGCATTTGCTCAGTGGATTTTTTTCTTTGATTAATTTTTTGCCCCCAATTTTTAGTGCTCCAATTTACTATTTGGCCATCATTTAAGAATAAACTTGCAATGCCAATAGTTTTGATTTTTAAGCAGGGCTTGAACATTTTGGCTACCAGTACTCCCTGTTCTCGTGTATTGTTTCCGTTTTAAACTTATCCATATTGCTTGGTTAATAAGGTATGAACCATGGCACATTTGTACGGAGTACTAGGGCAAAAGGCTGCTGCCTTTTGAAATGGAACACATTCAATCTGCTATTGTGAGATTTTGTCTTCAGTTGTCTGCACTTTGAATCTCACTTAGGTCTCTTGCTGATCTGCTTTGACGATACATGTGAGTAGCTCTTTCTCTTCATTCAGTATAACAAGGCCTGATGTTGCATAATGAGAAGAGTCGACATTGGATTAGCAACTGCAGCATCCTCTAGCGAATCAGATTTAATTCTACATTCAAAGTTTCTACATAGGAAAATGATGTTTGTCAACTGACTTGGCAACAGATGATTGAATGTTTGTTGTTTTTTTTTTTTTTTGTTTTTGCAAACAGTCCAATTATGTGTTGTTTTTTAGCCTGTTTGTGTAGCACTGTTCTTCTACTTATTGGTAATTACGTTGTTTTCTTTTTCAGTTGGCCGCAAACCAAGCCACCAACACTTGCCTGCTAATTTATCAGCTATATATCACAGTCGAATTTATGTTGGATTATACGTGTCAATGGAATGGAATTGTTCTGATCATATTTAAAATCTCAAACCTTGTCCTGGCAAACGTATGACTGATTAGGTTGTTTTCCCACGCGTTGTCCTAATTTTGGAGGTTTTCTTTCTTTTGTTATTCAGTCAAAATCTCCGTGTGCATCTTTGATGTTTTGTCTGTATGTCTTTTGTGAGCCTAACATTGTTTTTCATATATGGGGCATCGAAAGAACCAGTGCATATTACTTAGTCAGGGGTCATTCTAGTTGAGGAAAACTATCTTTCTGAAGTCATACATTACGAGTGCAACTTGAAATTCTATTCATTCCTGATCTATATTTACCTTCTTGAAGAAGGGTTCCATCTTCTTTTGATACATATATTTATATTTGAACTATTTAATTATCACATCCTCGTTCAAAGAAAACATTTTGAAGCAGTCAGTTAAGGTAATTGCAGTTGTCTTCTATTATTTATCATGATATCTGATGATATTTAATGTTTCTAATTAATCAGCTAGAGCATTTAAGTTGTAATGCATTGTATTCTGTAGCTGATAGGTATTGGTCAATTCCCTTATTCAGAAATTTGCTGAATTGTAGACAAGATGGACGGTTATTAATTCCATTTATGTTGATTTTGATTGTGTTATGAAACAGTTGCCTGTTTTCAATTCTTTTTGCAAGCCCTTTGACATTGATTAGGTTTTTGGCTATGGTTCACTGGTGCAGTTGCTAAATCTATAGCAGTCATTAAGGTAGACGGAGAATATAAAATTTGACTGTGCTCAAAAACAACTTTTGATGGTGATATGTACCATGCAGATACACCTTCGAGTCTTTCTGCCGGCCGAGGAAATTTGAGTCTGTTCCATAGAATGAAGTGGGCTGTGTCCTAGAACATACACTAAAGATCATAATTGATTTGTTGAGCAGGTAAGTGAACTTGGTTGTTTCCTGTGATGATTGTCTATTCTGCTTGATGTTTTCTCTCTAGTGATTCGGTTTGCATCCATGCCAAATTTTAAAATTTTTATTTTAAAGTTGCATTTTGCCTGAGGTACTTATTTGTTTGTCATTCCTTGGTTAGTACATACAAAATATGACTGTGATCGAAATAACTTTGGATGCTTTTATGCAGTGTGCAGATTTACATTGAAATTCTGTCTGGGCTTAGAGGAAATTTGAGCCTGATCCATGGAAATAAATGGGCTTTGGGTCGTAGACATACCTAAGCAAATGATCATGCTTCCTTAATTTATCATGCAAGTAATTGGCTTGGCTCTCTCCTTTGATGTTTATGTACATGCTTGATATTTTCTAAGAAGTGATTTGCTTTGCATCTTGTGCCAAATTTTAAGATTTTTATCTTAAAGTTGCATTTCACTTGGTACTCATTTGTTTTTTTAATCATTCCTTCATTAGTTGGGGAAATAATGATCTCGACTTTGTAGTATGGATAAGTAAAAAAATCTACTTAAAATTGAAAAATTTCAATGAATTCCCCCCCCCCCCCCCCCCCCGCCGCC